TTCTGAGGGTTACTCAGGAGGGTGACCTCTATAATATATGTCAAGCCCAAGGTTATTGGAGGTGGGTGTGTTAATCTAAATAATTACCCATATCAATTTATACAGGGTGTTATGTAATATCCGCCCCTCTTATTTATGGATAGAGCGGCCTAGACCGAGTCGAAAAATCCTCTACCATTTTGCAATTTTCGCAATAGTTATCGAGTTATTAATTATTAAAAATCGCTGTCTTGGCCTACTGCCCAATTTAAGCTCGCGGCGGGACGCGGCCGTCCCGCGATCGGCGTTGCTAGGCGCGCGGGGAATTGTTTATGGCGCACGGCAACGGCTATGTATGGTATAATAAACAACTCCCCGCGCGCCTAGCAATGCCAAGGCCGGGCTAAGACAGCGATTTTTAATAATTAATAACTCGTTGACTATTGCGAAAATTGCAAAGTGGTAGAGAACTTTTCGACTCAACCTAGTCCGCTCTATCCGTAAATAAGTGGTGAGGCGGGTATTACATAACACCCTATACATTTCCGTTATTAATAGTGTAATCGCAACACTTATTGTGTATGTAATTTTACGTACTTCTTTTACAGTGTACGTCGACTCTCACAGCGTAACTTTTATTATTTTGCTATCGTATACACAAATAAGACGAATAACTGTGATGGATATAACACTTTCTCATAACATCAAGGTTCAATCGATATTTAGTAAGATATTTCAATATTGAAAATTTTCAAGTCCCACGCGATAAAAGTCCCGAGCACTGGTCTCGCATTCGCAAGATACGTAAAGTCAGCGTTCAACCCGTCCGCTTCGTCCGCGACGAGCGGCGGATCTTCTTGCATTTAATTTCGACAAATGCGCGAAACACGACGACGAGAGGATTCGGGACGCTCGGCGCCGTGCAGCTCGCATTTTTCTCCGACGCGTTATGCGACCCTAAAGCGCCATACGAAGAGCATATGAGAGCTTATAAATAGTTGAGTGACTTGGTACCTATATGCTCTTCCTTTCACATGTCACCTTCTGAATGTGTACCGATGCCTATGCGCTGATTCAACGTGCGCAACGCGGCCGTGGAATTCCCGGCGGGGACGCATTCTGAACGACTTGCTCCGTGTGTGATATCCATAAAAGAGCGGCGTTGCAGCGTCCAGATACACCGGCGGAACGAGGCCGTGAAAATATCGCGCGTAAAAGGCGGCTGAAAGAGAGCGCGGATATCCTTTGGAGCTAGCCGATATTCCGTGTGATTTACTCTCAATCGAGCATCGCATTTTCGCGCCGAGGCCGACAGAGCTTCGCCAACAAATTGCAAGATCGCCAACAATCGCGTCTCAATTTAATTATCGTAAGCCGCGATCGCACCTGCGTACAGATACGAAAAAAAAAAACAACAAATTGTGCCGTGCTATAATCGAGTCTTGATCAATAATTTCGATGTTTCGTATCTCGCGGAGACTCGTGGACTCCCGTCCGTGGTGCGTTAATGTACATTTCTTTATCATAGAGAGGAAAAAGCAAAAAAAAAAAACGAGATCACCGCGGCTCGAATCATAGACTTGAGATTCGAGGATGAAGCTGTAATACTTGTTATATTGTACGAACGGCGTGTACTTGTGAATGTATGTCTCTACGCGAGTTCCGTCAGCTCGCGCAATCTTGTAAATGATCGATCCCGATCGCGTTATGTACTATAATACTTTTTTTATTTATACAATCGCGATTTGCTCATGTCATTACATTGTAATCGCAATTAACCGAGACGCCCCCCGGTAGAAATACGTTCGCTGAAAGTGTCGCGAGATTGATTGGAGAGCGAAATTAAAGTTATCGAGGAATCACTGAGCGTGTCCGAAAAGAAGTTATAATTTTCCTTGCGGGATTCAATGTAAATTCAGTACCGAGAAACATGAGGAGAGTTAAAGTGCGCCGTTGGAAAGTAATATTAAAAAATGATACAATATCGGATATTATAAAACTTCAACTAAAAACCGCGCTACTTTTTAATGAAAGGCTTCAAGAGCCTTCAAGAAAAAGATTTTTCGCTGAACTTTTCTTGAAACGTGAAGATATTATAAAAAAACGGGGTTAATTGACAGAAATTTTTAAATGCGCTTCAGCAACATTTCATTACACTTTCAGCAAAATATTTCCGCCAGGGCGACATCGTAGGGATACCGTCGAGCTTGATCGCGGCCGCTGCGCTTCCACCGCGACTCGCTCGCCTTTCGTTCACACGACCGCCGCGGCGGTAATTAACGACTGCCATGCGGAGAGCGCGTCATCGACACTCGCGACGACGTAAGTGGCGGAGTGCGTGCTTAATTAGGCACGCGTAATTGTCCATTTCCTGCACGTGATGCAGTTTCGACCGCGCCGTTCGACGATTTGCGGATCGGAAGGTCGACAGATCCGCGGGCCGTTGAGGGAAATGAAGTATGATACGACTTGATTGAATGTATATCTCTAGTCGTATATAGCGGGCGTCCACTGCCGTGCAATTTATAAGCTGCGTTTTACACTGATTGTGAGAGAGAGAGAAAGAGAGAGAGAGAGAAAGAAAGAGAGAAGAACGAGACACGTGTACATACGTGTCACAGGTGTTCTTCGATTATAGCGCCGATACCTTTACTCGTATAGTTGTATAATATTTAAGCGCGAATTCTGTAAAAAATTGTTAATACTTAATAATAAATTTATTATATTTACATAACGACGCTTCTTTTAATACAACGTCCCGCGGTATTTCTCCCGCCGGTGAGGCAAACGAAATGAATCTATATATTAATAAAATCGAAAAGTGTTTCAGACAAAAGCTGTTCATATCAGTTAGTAGAATAAGATAGTGTAATAAACAATAGGGGGTTCCGTTGAAAAAATTGGAGGTGACCTTCACGTGACCTTCAAGCAACTATTCAACATCAAATTAATGACACCATCTTACGTCCCCTTTTAGACCGCGCGCAGCCTTTATTGTAAAAGTTTATTTGTAAAATTGCATATTTTCGAAATATTTGCCCGTCAAGATTAAAAAGACACCCTGTATAGCGCACGCGCCAACATTATTCTATTCTAGATTGAAGAATTTTTCATTTAAGACTAAAGTGTCCCTTTCTATAAATAAGGAATATAATTGTCGCTATGTCGATTCTATTTCACGATAGATCAAAGTGCAGGCAGCGTGCGAAATCTTTTCTGCAATATAGGCGCGGAAACGTGCGAAACAGGTTCATTTCGCCCCCGTGAAATTACATGGCTGACATTGCGCTGATAATGATTTCAGCACGTTACACGCGTCGCTGACACGTGACGAGTCTTTCCGCGAAAATCCATTTCCCCGTAGCCCGGTGTGCCGGGGGGCGGAAGAAGGTTACCACTCTCTAATTAGAATAGGTACACTTTAATTAGAGCGTGGGAAATTATATTTTGAGCCGGCGTACGATAAATCGCTCACTCACACACGCCGCGAGCGTGGAAAACGTGAGCGTGTCGGTGAAGTATAAAAGTATAAGCCCGTCGACGCGGGATGATTCCGGGAGGCGGGAGGGTTTCTGCCCGGCGATAGAGCGTCGGCGCCGCGACGGCAGGAGCACGCAGACGCATCTGGACCGGCGTCGGTGACGTAGAAACGTGAAGCGAGAGGCGAACGCGGGATCCGAAGGCGTGCACAGCCTCCGCCGTTTTGGCGTCCGAAACGCTCGTGTCGTCCGCGGAGATCTAGGCGCGCTCCCGAACGCGTTCCCGAGATCAGCGCGCGAGAAATCCGCTTATCGTTGCGCGAGATAAGCGGTTACCGCGTCCACGCGTGGCGCGGAGTAATCGCTCGAAGCGCCTCATCGATCCTCTGGCGAGTATCGACGAGTAACAGGCGGGTCCAGCCAGCCTCCCGTTCCGCGACGCCGACCGCTCGAGCGCCGCGCAAATCGGAGCGTCCGAACGATCGAAGAGCGATGACGTGCCGTAAAGTAATCGCGAACCACCTGTGAACCGACTCGGAAACGCCAAGACGCGGACGGTCTTTCAACACTACGGAATGTGCATCCGCGTCTGTGATCTCGGTACGACTGTGCGACGCTGTTTGCAAAATGTACGACGGATTGTAATTGTGTAATCGGTGCTACGCTGGTGCGAGCGCGGAATATCAAAAGCGAGCGACGGACGTTGTAATCGGGAAGAGCGAGCTGACTCGTTCGGGACAGGTAAATGTTTGCATACAATATTATACTGCGTTGGGGAAAGAAGAATCTTTTACAGTGGCGTTGGAATAGTTTGTGTTTAAAGAATACGCCAAGACAATGAAGCTGTTAAACTAGCGGATAAAGAATTCTAAATTGCGTTTAGCACCGAGTATCAAGGAAGACTGGGGAATTGAACAGCCGAGAAATGGCACCCACAAATTTTCTCCTCGATAGATTGCAAGAAGAGATATTAATGTTAGTCTGTGCTTTAATAAAATTGCTAAAATGACAGAGTCTCGATGAAGACCAAAGAATTAAATAGCTGAAGTAAATGGTACCTGCAACTTTTTTTCTCGATAGATTGCAAGAAGAAATATTAACGTTAGTCTGTGCTTTAACAAAATTGCTAAAATGACAGAGTCTGGATTAATTAAATACCGAAGAATTAAATAACTGAAATTTATGATACTTGCAAATTTTTTCCTCGATAGACGGGAAGAAAAAACATTAACGTTTGTCTATATTTTTGCGCCTCTGCTGTCTAAATTTGCAAGTCACTTTTCACGTTATTTTGAAAGCTACCAGAAATAACTGGGGGAAAAAATGCACTTTCTGCATGAAGTTTTTGAATATGTAATGAAATCTGAAAATAAGAGGAAAATAATCGACCAGGTTTTTTCACCACATTTGCTAAGAAGAAGAAAAATGTTCGAATACCTTAAACATTCCTAAATGTATGACAATATTTGTTAAAACAATAATTTGGATCCGTAAATGTTTGTCTCTTAAATAAACCTGAAGAGGACTGCGATTGGCACTATTGGCAGTCGAAACGTCGTCATGACAAATTAAATACATAGCCAGTTATGTCGAAACAATTGATTGATTATTGATTTAATTACTGGTGAAAAAAGACATTACCAATAACGTTCCTAAATGTCTTTGTGAAAGATACGTAGCTCGTTCAAATAAAAGCTGACATTTAAACGCAATTGTTACTAATTTTAACGACTTCTGCATTAACGTTTAAACCAATAACAGCAGAGTAGACGCGAGTTGAAATATTGCGCAGCAAAATATTTAATTAACGGTCAGTTAACGGGCTTGACATTTCTACGACAAATTCTACTACACATTCGAGCTCACAACAGGTTGTTCTGTTATATTTGCAGATTGATGACTAATTGGAAGATCAAGAATAACGGACATGAAGTACTTGAAAGTCGCGTTGTTCATATTCAATCTATTAATATGGGTAAATAACACGCATGCACATTGTAACATAATAAATTAAGTCTGGAAATAGCGACACGTGCCACGAGCACTTTAGACGCAGATGCTCGAGTTATAAATAATTCTGGCGTAATTCTGTACACCGGAGCGATACAATCGTTTTTCGCGCTGTTGCATTGTCCCCGCCTGCGACTTGGATTCTATCCTCGGGAGAAGGCGGGGACAATTATTTCAGGCGTCGCCGAAATTTACGCGCAACGCTCGGACGCGATAAGGGAGAGACAATCGTAAAATGATCGGGTTTTCTTCTCGGCAGCTGGCTGGCTGCACGGTGCTCGTTATAGGCGTGTGGCTGCTCCTGGAGTCCAGCAAGGGCCACATCCTCAATCTTTTCGTGTCTGACGTCAAGCCGTACGAGACTATTAATCTGATAGCTTACAGCCTCCTCGGGCTCGGCTCCATCGTGTTCGCGGTCGGCCTCTTCGGCTGCCGCGCCGCGCTACGCGGAAATCAATGCATCCTCGCCACCGTGAGTGAAACGACATCTTTATTGTCGCCCCGAGGGGCGCTCAGTACCATTATAGACGTCGGGTCAGGGTCAACGATGTTTTTATCGGTATGCTCCCGTTTTTCCGCAGTACATGAGCATGCTGGTCGCGCTCATCGTCACGGAACTGGTGACGGCCGCAATCGGCGGGTTGATGACTTTCCAGATACTGTCCGATCTGGAGGACAGGCTCGCCGACAAACTGGCGATGGAGTACGGGCACGACGCGACCAGCGATATCCCGTTCAGCAATAGTCTAGACTTCGCGCAGTACAAGGTGTCGTATCAACCGAGCTGGTCGCTCGACCGCTCATCGATCTCTACGGCATGTCTTGTCTCCAGGACCGCTTATATATATTTTTTTTCTTTTTTTTTCGTTACGAATCCTCTCGCGGTATTCTTGATTTTTCCTCGTTGTCATCTTCGTCTAATCCACCTTACGTTTTTCAACCGTCGATATTAAACAAAAACGCAAAGCTCGTTGTCGACCAGACTGGCGAAGTTTCAATAATTTATTTGCGACGTTTCGACCTAATTCCAGGTCTTTATCAAGTAATAATATTTGATAAGGACCTGGAATTAGGTCGAAACGTCGTAAATAAATTGTTGAAACTTCGCCAGTCTAATCGACTAACAAGCTTTGCATTTTTGTTTAATTTTACCACTGGTGACAATAAGAACACGTAAGCTCGTTGTCGATATGACGTTCCCAGTAAATACCAATTAACAATAACATCAATACTACAGTTTCTCACTTGACAATATAAATGTAATAGGGTAAAGGCACCTATTATCGCCCAGAACGTAATATCGCCACTCGTGATATCTCATATACAATATCGTATATAATCTCGTATATAATATCTCGTACAAAGTGCCGGTATCAATTGGCAATACACAGAATTAGCAGTAGCTAAACACGTGCAAGAAGACATATTATAGTTACAACGTTATAGAAATCAACGTCTGACTCAGGAGACGCGTTGAAACAAATTTTGAATGCTGAAAAATTTAGCAGACAGTGCAAGTTCGACATCCCGTAGTGAGCACGTAAGCTCAAACATTCTTTTAATGTATAAATATTTACTAGGAATACATAATTAGTGATATATTACGCTATTTTTAACTGATTTCAACGTTTTTGTTACGATGTTTTTAGGTCTAGATTAAGATGCACTCAATACCGCCCACCATATTATTACGGAAGTGTCCGTAATAGTGTGTGCCTAGGCGACATTATGCATGCATTTTTAAGAATAAAACAGAGTAAAAAGAATACAAATTTACTCGACGTATAAAAATTGCAAAATAGTGTGTCATATATGTATAATGAAAATATTTTTTAAACACAATTAAAAAGCAAAAAAGTTTTGGGACACCTACCAACGTTTATATGATGTAAATTAATAAATATCTAGAGCTTAACAAACTCATACATATTGATAGGGAATGCTTTTATACAAATTTATAAGGTAGGCGACATTAGGTGCCATTTTTGTATTTTTTCAATGTGGATTACATGATTTTAGATTTTAACCGTTCTAACCTATTATACATGAAAAACACAAATATTTTCTCTTTTATCCCTGCGAGAAAAATAATTCTACCAAATTCTACAAAAAAATTAAATTAAACTACCAGAATCCAAAAAGTCTACGTAAATTTGAAAGGTGTTATAAAAATCAACATGAAAATGCTAGAATTGGAACACTTTTGTTAATTTTTGTAATATTCTACAAGTAAGCAGATGTTTTAATTCTTTAAGATTTTGTTGTTTCGCAAATTTTTTAAACTAGTAAAGTTTTGTACTAATTTTTACAAAATTGTACATTTTTATGAAACACTACTTGCAATAATTTCTTCATTTGAGAACATTGTCAATTGTGGTACTATTTCGTAAATATTTTCACAAAAAAATTAATGTTTCAACGAAGATATAAAAATTTCTACAAATTTCCATTTCAAGTCAATTTTTTGTAGTTATTTATAGACATTTTTTCCGCTAAGGGTTTGAGACTATAAAATACAGACAAAAATGTCAATTACTCTTTAAGTGAGGACGATTTGAATTTTGGCAGGCGGTATTAGGTACCTTTATCCTATAATACATGTTATACAAAACAGTTACATTGTTGAGTGGACAATTATAATATTAATGTTAACTGTTATAGTTGTCCGGGTTCACAAGTCGATGAAGAATCTAGTGAATATCGTATTGAAATCAAGTTGAGATCACGTGCAAATCAATAATCGAGTTGATATTTAGAAGATTTCATTGCCTGGAAAATATTCTGTGGATGTCCGCGAAGTAGTCATATTTCAATCCATATCATATTGAAGTCGAATCAACATCTCCATCTATCGACTCGACTTGAATACGATATCTACTTGATATCAACTAAATCATCAACAAGTGGTCGACACTGATATCTTCTACATATCAAATTGATAGAGGAAAGTCCCCTATTATGAGACAGGCTCCTAATATGACATAGCGGAGTTTCTACTAAATTATAGGCATCGTCTGTTGATTTCACCGTGAATTTATTGCCCTGGAGTGAAATCTGTTTAGTGCAAAATTCATAGTTAGATTTGCAGTTGAATTTGGACGTTAAAAACCTACCATCTCATATTAGAATCCTGTCCCGTAACAGTGGACTTTCCTCTATGTACATATACATCTAATAGATGTCTACAAAGTGTTATGCGGATCTTCTTACGAAATCAATGAAGAATCTAGTCGTCATTAAATCAATGGTCCGAAAAATCATGATCGATATCGATTTGATCACCGACTTGTGAACCTGCGTGTGTTGTTTTAGGTGGTGTTCACTGGGTAGTGTGTGTTTTATGACCGTGATATCAGGTTCGCTCTGGATATACCCATCTGTGCACGACGCTTCAGCGAGATGATAATGCGAAATATGCCTCTTTCTTATTTAAAATATTATACACATACTTAAGAGTGTTCCGGTCTCATTTTCCCCGCAGCATGTATTACGCGCGGAAAACGCGCATGTAAATTACGTTTCATGCATGATGGGGTCGCATGCGATGCTTTGTCGGAAATCGACTGCCCAATGAGACATTTCGCGATGGTACGAAGAGCACATGGATGATTCCATTGCAGTTTAATTGCTGCGGAATATACGGCGATGACGATTACAATGGCACGGCTTGGTGGAGGGACGATCAAATCTCGGGGAGCAAGAAGCAGGTTCCCCTCACGTGTTGTGTTCTCAAAAACAGCGAGGTACTCCAAACATGTTTGAATAGCTTGGTCCTAAAGACAACTTGAATATCGAACTTTCGAAAGTCGAGACTGACAACCCATAAAGCACGCATGTCTAAAAGACATCTTTAAGACGCCTTTAAGTCGTCTTTTAGATATGTACAAAATGACGACTTAAAGATGTCTTTTAGACATGCGTGCTGTATGGGAAAGTACACTTTGAAAACAGAATAGTGAAATACTGAAGTCCACGTATATTATTACATTATCGTCTAGATGTCTCTTTTCAAAGTGATACAAGCTGTGGATTATATGCATCTCGATATATTCATCGTTTCCTAAAGAACTTTTCGATTTATTTCTCGTCTTGAACTGTCCATTATCTTAAACGTCTAGTCGACAAACTGCAGCTCACGATTCATTAGTAAAAGCGAGAGCTTCTGTTTTGCAGAACAAAAATACGGGCAGCCCGATGAGCGTTGTTACGCGGGTGTTTCACAAAAATGTAAGTAACGTGTCGGCGACGAAACGAATGTATGAACTTTGTGCGAGTAATCTTTTGTCGCTGGCAGAACGAGAAGCCGTGGTTGCATCCGATGCCAAAGGATGAGGCCGCGTGTCAAGTACAAGATGAAGAGGGTCACGAGGGCTACAGGCATAAAGAGGTACGCGCACTGCACCGCTAGGTATCACGTACTACCGTTGCACGTTACGCTGCTACATATTTTAAGGGAACGATGCTTTTTCTCAGGGCTGCCTTGGAAAAGTCACCAACTGGCTGCAATGCGAGAGCTTCACGTTGGTGTTTCTCGGCATGGCAATGGCGGGAATACAGGTGAATCCCTTCATGTTTTTTCGGAAACCTCTAGAGGAAACGTCATTCGCCGAGTGACATCGAAGATTTGTGATTTTACTTGCTTTTGATCTTTACGGAATATCCTTGCAAAGATTGTATTATATAACTGGTACAATTCTTTACTCGAAGGAATTTCGCTACCTTTCTTCAAATAATAGCTTTATTAAGTTATTGTCTTAAATAATTTCCCAGTAAACGCCAAATAACAGTTACGTTACATCAATATTATAATTTCCTACTTAACAATACAAATGTAATATAACACGCGTGTTATATTGTAACTTACTTGGTGTTCACTGGGTTCTTTTTCTGCACGGAGAGAATTTTTTTTTTAAATTTACCCTGAAAATCATGTAATTGTGGGACAACGTGGCATTTCAGAGAATTTGATGAGTAAACTGTATACTAATTGTAAGTATAATTACTAGTAGAATCCCAGAGAACATTATGTCGTCTTAAAGACACCTTAAAGACGTCTTATGTCCCGATTTTCGACGTCTTTTAGACCTGTCTTAAAAACGTCTTTAAGTCGTCTTGAAAACCAATTTAAAAGATGTCCTCGAGGCGTGTATTATAGGCATATCGACTGATCTCTTTCGCAAGGTCGTACCTCGGTATTACGCAATTTTGTACTTAGGCTGCGGTCAAGCTGCTGCTGCAAACGCTTCGAAACGTTTCTCTTCTCTTTACTGAAAGAGAAGAGAAGAATACTTCGTAAAATTTGAAGCAGCAACTTGTCCGCAGCCATTCTGGCCCAGAAAGCGCGTTTAAGCACAAAAATCCGAAATTGCGTAAAGTTAAGATACGATTTTGCGAAAGAGATCAGTCGATATTAAAAATAGTTTCTTATTTGTTATAACCTCTGCTTTTTCACTGTTTCCTCACGCCATTCGAGCTCTCCACTTTGTCCCAAGAACATAATCGTGTTATACACTACATATTACACTACAAATCTCATTATTCTAATTCCAGAAACTTTTCTATTTTTTAAAAACTTTCACGTCGTTTAGACACACATGTTGTCTAGGATGTTAAAATTTCCAAAAACACTCATACAGTTCTTCAAAATGCCTTGTTGTCCCACGAGTGCATGATTTTTAGGGTAAATTTTAAGAGAAAATTCTCCCCCCGTGCGCAAAAGAAATAATCACACAAATATCATTCCAGACATTCGGAATAATAACGTCCGCTTTCCTCTGCCGGACGATAAGGGACATGCAGGAAGAATGATCCAGGGTTCGTAGTCTCCATGAAGTAAAGAGAATGTCGTGGCACGTTCAGTCTTTACATTGACAACTTTGGCAGAAGAGGTATAGTCATTTCGTATTCTTCGTGCGTCGCAACTTGGGAAGATCTCCGAAATTCGTTTCGGTCGTGTGAGTCGGGACAATGATCGGGAGTCGCAGTGAAGGAATATACCGCGGAGAAGAATATGGATATCTATTCTGTTCCACAAGGTGTCTGTTCATTGAGAACTATCTTAACTTCGAAAATACTGGACTCTGAAAATAAGAACAATAAGTGCTACGCTTACGTTTAAGTCGATTTCCACCTCTGTGCGCATTTTGCTGCCAATCAGCAATAATGTGACCAACACACCCCCGCTGTACATATATAACATATGCATCTGTGTCGTGTTCAATCTAGCTATTACTAAGAAATAGCGGTGTTACGACGGTATCGCCGGTGTCTCGCGACGATCTTCACCGGAGTTTGGCTAGCAACGCGAATTGTCATCCCGTGGCGTCTTGTAAATACAGTTGCCAGTGCCAAGAAGGATGGATATACATTAGGGTGGTCCTTATTTTTCGATTTTCGAATTTTTCCACGGCACCCTCCAGAATGTTTCCAATCCAC